TAAATCATCTATGAAATCATCTATGAACATTATCAATCATCTATGAACAATATCAATCATCTATGAACGATATCAAACATCTATGAACAATGATCAATATCAATCATCTATGAACGATATCAACCACTATATCGACCTACCTGGATGATCGAAATGATAGGAGGCCATCCCGATAGTGTCGAATTGCCCATACACACACCCCCAGATGGTGCTAGGCGGGTCTCTCAACCGATATAAGTGGTCCAGATGAAGTGCCGTCGCACGCGCACGTCCCCTGCAGCGCCCCCTACACCTGCCCTTTCCACCTACCACAGTGTGTGTGTGTGTATGTGCCCTTTCAGGAAGTACTTGGTTGGTGTCGGTTTCTGTGGTGCTAGAGTGTATTCTGTCTGTGTCTCTGTGTGTGTGTGTGTGTGAGCTGCTGGTGTGTGTTGTGTTCTGCTCGCTCCTATCCACAGCATCGTCCCCACTGGTACCATCGCATACATGAGATGTGATGTGTGCGCATTCGGTCGTCTCCAGCCCCATGGCGAAAACAACATCGAACTCCCACACTGTCTGTGGTGGACTTATATCTGTGGCATTTTCCTCATCTTTGGCATTTGCGGTCATATTCTCCCACGTGTGTGTCGCGCTTAATCGGCGCGTATCGGCATCCCAAGAAACATTTTCTAGTAAAAACCTCCCCACCGCACCACTACCGCCGCCATAACGCACACGCGTGACCAGTCCGTATTCTGCGGCCAGATAAGCCTTGGCAACAACGAAAAAGCACTCCAGGGCGCTCGATCCAAACTCAAACGCACCTAATTCAATACGCCGAGGGTCCCCATCGTACGAGTATGTTGAACCGTATATGGTCTGCACCAGCGGTTCTTTCAGAGCTGTGCCGGTGTTCATATCAGTAACGCTGCGGTTGATGGAGGGCAGTGTGTGCGAAGCATAATTAGACTAGGTGGGCAAACAGCAAACAGGGTATATTGTAACTGAGTGAATAAAGCATGTATCCGACACGCGTTTGAGGTCATCCAGTCGTCAAGTATATACTTGCGAAGTGATGAGTGTAATAGCCCTTTACCACGTAGTCATGGCAACAAATCCCTATTTCTACCCCTCCATATCTGAACATGCACGTATGAGCTGAATGCAGAACAGTGCAATAAGGAGACTAAGCAGTGCACGGAGCGACACAAAGGTATCGTGATTCACTCGGTGGCTATAATCACATACACGCACGGCCTCATAATAGCACTTCAAATCTCTTCTCTTATTTTGACATAATAGCATAGATAAATATAAAGTAAACAAAAATCAAGTAGACTCATGTATATGTAAATGACAACACACAGGTACATAGATAAGTAGATAACAATCTAGTAGATACATAATTAAATTTAAAAAAATCTGGTAAATACATATATAAGTAAATAACAGTCAAGCAGTAGATGGGCGGTGGCACGTGCACATCACAGGCATACGCAACCCACATTACAACTTCATAATCCATCTCTATTCACAGCAATGAAGTAGCACCCTGTGAAATTCAGTACACAACAGATTATACCATATACAAACATCCACAATCCGCCCAATAGGCCCATGGAATAAACCGCACACAATACGGTACTTATAGGCAGTTCAACCGGCAGCTATACCACCACGCTCACAAAATTAAACACTGTGTTGTGATCATTCCGTCTACCAAGACTACTGTATACATACTAACGTGGCAGATACCCTCGATGGGGCCTGTTCGCATTCAGTATAATACTGACATCTGTTCCTGAGTGCTTCTCCATGTATGATGACAGTGCAACGATTTGTGATATAGCATGTCACGCAGTCCGCTATAGAATGCTACATAATGATTGTCATCCGCATTTCTATACCTATTTAAACATTACCGGCCTCGACTCATCCAAACAACCGACACGCGCGTTGATATTAGTGCACGCTGCTTATCTGTACTGAGCAGTGCTAGCGGAAGTAGTTGACTAGCTACAACTACATACTTTACGATGAGACTGGGTATCCACATACTGACACCTAATCTGCCTTCACAGCATATAACATTCGCCAGATATTTTACGTACCTACTGTATTCATTCTGTAATCCACCTTCAGAAAAGATGGTAGTGAAGCAATACTAAAATATACACAGAGACATATACATGTACAT